GCAAGGAGCTTAAGGATGATAGGTCCTTAACTGTATATACAGTAGTGCCCCGCTTGACGACAATAATCCACTCCAGCAAAATCGCTGTCAAGCGAAATCGTCGTGAAGCAAAATAAAAAAAAAACATTGAAATGCATTGAAAACTGGTACAATGAGTTCCAATGGGGGAAATACCTGCTCATTTTGTGAAGATCCTCCATAGGGCGGCCATTTTCCGATGCCTGTATAGCGAGCAATCCATCCTAAACACAGCGGGGAGCCATTTTGCAGTGGGGAGCCATTTTGCGACCCGCCGATCAGCTGTTTTAAAATTGTCGTTATGCAAAGAATCTGTTCCCGAAGCAGGGAACCGATCGTCATTAAGCAAAAAATCCCGTACAAACATCGTTTTGCGATCACTATAGAAATCGTAAAAACATTGTCGTCAAGTGATTTCGTCATCTTCCAGGGTAATCGTCAAGCGGGGCACCACTGTAGTTAAACTCCATGTATATTTTCAGAACCAACTTTCTTGGTTTCAGGAAAGGTACTAGCCTCCCTCTATTCAGCACTGGTTAGGCCTCATCTAGATTACTGTGTCCAGTTCTGGATACTGTACTTTAAGAAGGATGCCAACAAACTGGAAAAAATTCAGAGGAGGGCAACAAGGATGATCAGGGGACCAGAAACCGAGTCCTATGAGGAAAGACTGAAAGAACTGGGCATGAGAAAAGGATGAGGGGAGATACGACAACACTTTTTCAATATTTAAAAGATAGTCATGCAGAGGAGGGGCAGGATCTGTTCTTGAACCAATTACCTTGGGAGATAGCAAGTGCTCCAACACAGGAGGCATTCAAGACAAATTTGGACAAACATTGTCATGTCTGATTTGGATTCCTGCATTGAGCAGGGAACTGGACTTGATAAGCTTATAGGCCCCTTCCAACTCATTTTTCCTATGATTCTAAGATCGGATCTTGTAATGGGACTGTAAGAGAGCTCCTATACATAAAATAGTTTCAGATGGGCAAATAACATTTTATTCATCCTCAGTCTGAGATCACAAAGCAGGGATAGGGTGACAATAAGGTGATGACTGACATGGGATTTTGAGTTTGCCAGTAAGTAAAGACAAATCATTATCTCTCTTGTCTAGAGAGCAGCAATTATGAGGACAATACATTTTATAAAAAATTTTGGGTCAGTAACCAGACCAAAGAAGAGCACTTTTAATTGCAACAACTGGTGAAGTTGTGACATACTGTACCTAGGATGAGCTGTAGGCACAGTATGTCAGAATTGTTGATTTCAGATGTGGAAGCACACTTATTCCAAGTCCACGGATGCAAACCACATACCCTTGTGCAGAAATGGCAGTAGATAGTCAGGATGACCATGCAGAACCTTCTGGGTCAGATAAAGGAGTTGACTCCACAGAGATCTAGGATAGGGCAGAACCTCCATTTTGCATTATCATGTGCCATCAAGTAAATTTTGACTTATGGCAATTCTTTTCAGAGTTTTTTAAAGTAGAGAATACACCAAAGTGGTTTACCACTTCCTTCTCCTGAGGGCATTCTGGGACTGTGCAGTTTGCCCAAGGTCACACATGCTGGTTCTACTCGCGAGAGGCACAGTAGGGAATCAAACTTCCAACCTCTGGCTCTGCAGCCAGATATCTAAACCACTGAGCTATTCAGCAAGTCAGTCTTGCTTGGGATAGTGGAAGAGCAAGAGAAGAATCTGGTGGTGACACTGACAAAGAATCCCTTCTATGGCATTCTTCTGCAACAGGGAGGCAATATCTTCCTTTAAACAGGGGATTGGAGCTATGACTCAAAAGATCACCAGCCTCCAAATTTAATTGGCTAGCCCTCCCTGATTATTGTAATGACCAAGGCATCACTGGTACTGGTATGGCACACATGGTAGTGAGGGTGTAGCATGGAATCAGTGGAAAGAAGAATAGGGATCTTTGACAGCAGAGGAGATGGACAGGGAAAAAAGTGCCTCAAAGATTGAGTTGTCATCTTAGAAAAAGCCTGTGTACAATACTTATATTGACCATATTGTTTCTTAGATTATCCCGATTGGTAAGATGAGAAAGAGGTAGAAGCAGGTGACTGCATGCTGCTATTTTTTCTACTGTTGATGGAAAGGCAGTTGGTTCTGTGCAGACACAGAGGTGGGCAAGGACCATGGAAAAGATCAAATCTGGAGAAGGAAGATAGTGCTCAGCAATGTTTACAATGCTCAGCAAAGTTTCTCTGTTGACAGAAGAAAAGGAACTGAGGAGACTGCTTTTGATATGCTTCGTCATTCCCAGTTCAAAGGGAGGGCAGAGCTACTGTATAAATTGCTCAGCTTTCCACAATCCTGTTTCAGATAAATCATGCTTGAAAAGCAATACAGTGGTGCCTCGCTTACCGATTGCGATTACGGAGAGTGCTTGTAGCGCAATGGGGCGGTATATAAATCCAATAAATAAATAAATAAATAAATAAATAACGATGTAATCGCTTAACGATGGGGTTTTGGCCATCGCCAGAGCGATCGGTTAGCGATGGCCTCTATGGGGATAAATCGCTTTGCGATCATGGCAAAGTGACCCTTGCACGTCCAGGAGGAGGTGGGAAGATCCACCCGGCGGGGAGCTAAGGGGGAGCCTCTCATCCCGGTCAAGGGATCCCGTGGAAGCCCAGCCTCCACTGGGAGTCCCCACCACCACCACCGGCTGCTCTCTCCTCCGCCGGCTTCCCCCATTCGCCTTCTAGCCCGGAGTTTGTCCTCCCCCCCTCCTCTTGCGAGCCCCCCGCCTGCCTTGCCTTAAAGGAGCAGAGAGGGCTCCGGGGCTGACTCCTCCTCAGACCAGCAGGCTCCGGTGGCGGCTGCTCCGCCACTGCCAGGCTCCCACTCCAGACTAGGCAGTGCAGGGAGCGCCGCCCCGTTCTTCTCTCCTTGCCTCCCCTGCCTTCTCTTTTTTTCCCTTCCCTTCCTTCTCACTGTCTCGCTGTCTTTCAAGCGGGCGGAGCTCAGGGCCCTTGGCAGCCAATCCCGGCTGTCCAGCCTTGGGCTCCGTTGGGGCGAGGGGAAGGGGAAGGTGCACTCACACACACATGCGCACGCACGCACAAACACACACACCACACACTCGGTGGAGGAAAACAGTGGTGGGCTCAGGTAGGCAGGAGAGAAAAAAAAGAGAGAAGAAATACCTCCCTCAACAAGGAGAGCAGATGAGAACATTGCTCCTTCTCGCTTTTGCAATGCAAAGTTTAAAAAGGGTCCGGAAACTTTTCTTGAACAGCTGATACGCAGTTTCAAAATGGTCACCCGCTGTTTTGCCTCCCTTAAGAGGCACCGAAAATGGCCGCCCCTATGGAGGATCTTCGCTTAAAGTTAGTTCTGAAGCCCATAGGAACGCATTAAATGTGTTTTAATGCATTTCTATGGGCTTTTAAAAATCACTTAACGATTAAATCACTTAGCGACGTTTTTTCCGGAACGGATTAATGTCGCTAAGTGAGGCACCACTGTAATTTATAATTTGCAGTTACAGTGTTACAGAGGGGCCTATCTATTACCTTCACATTTATATACTTTATCTTAAAATGGGAATGAACAGTTGTGGCATCCACCCAGGTCATGACTATTCATATGCTATAGGCATAGACCAATGGGAGTGCTGGAGGGGTAGAGTCATGAGATATAAAAAACTCAGCAGGAGGAGGAGATAGAGAGATAGGGAGTTAGAGTTGTAGAGATTGAAAGTTTTGGGAGTTTGGGCAGGAGAGTGGTGCTTGAGAGGGATAAAGGAGAATGTTTGTTTAAGAGCTAACAACATTGCTTATTCTATCCACATCTGTAACAATAAACAATTTCTATTTGGTTCTTTTAAAATGGCATATGGCCTGGACATCTACTGTGTTTCCCCAAAAATAAGACAGGGTTTTATATTAATGTTTGGTCCAAAAACGCATTAGGGCTTATTTTCAGGGGATGTTTATTTTTTCCATGTACAACAATCTACATGTATTCAAATAGAGTCACTTCTTCTTCTTCTGGTTGCTGCATAATGGTGGATGGCGGGGTTTCATTTAAATGGGGCTTATTTTTGAGATAGGGCTTATATTATGAGCATCCTGAAAAGTCATACCAGGCCTTATTTTCTTGTTAGGTCTTATTTTCGGGGAAAAAGGGTATCATTAATAATAGGTAATGTTGATGTAATCAACTAGTGGCAGCTGAGGGGCACACAGTATGAGCTCTTAGTTTCGTGAAACAAGAAGGGACCATGTGGAGATTGTGACAACAGTACAGTGGTGCCTCGCTTAACGGGCAGTCCGTTTAGTGATGAAACCGCATAGCGATGAAGATTTTGCGATTGCAAAAGCGATCGCATTGCAATGTTTTAAATGGTTTTTTTCGCTTTGCGATGATTGGTTCCCTGTTTCATTTACCGATCATCGCAAAGCGGTGATTTTTTAACAGCTGATCAGCGGTTCCAAAATGGCCACCGGGTAAAAAAAATGACCGCCCGCTGTGTTTTCGCATGGATTCCTTGTTTAAGAGGCAGCGAAAATGGCCACCGTATGGAGGATCTTCGCTTTAAGGTCAGTTTTTTGCCCATAGGAACGCATTTAACAGGTTTTAATGCATTTCTATGGGCTTTTAAAAATCGCAAAGTGACGAAATTGCTTAGCAGCGATTTTTGCTGCATGGATTAACGTCGCTATGCGAGGCACCACTGTATTCTCTTGAAATGTGACAAATAAAGGATAGGAAGACTAACACTACCAGTGTTTGATAGTTAAGGTTAGACTAGTTACTCCCCAAACTTAGATCCCTAGATGTTTTGGGATACAACTTCCAGAATCCCTGGCACCAAGGCAAATTGGCTAGTGTTGATGGGAGTTGAAGTCCAACAACAATCTGGATTTGAGGACTATCGTGTAAGACAAAGAAAAGTGGTAAAGCCTTTATAAATGGCTGGATCAAAATGCAAAATCACTACTCACCTGGAAAAATGCCTCCAGCTGCAAAGGTAGCATTCTGGTCATATTTGACATTTAAACGTACAGGCTTATCAGGATCAGGCAGAACATTTAATTTTATTATTAAACTGTCTAGTGTGTTCTTGTTGTATGAGGCTTTAAACTGCAGTGTATGTTCTCCCCTGTAAAACATGATAGCAGTTAATCTCTACCTATGTTTTCTAAAAGGTTGCTATTTAAACAGACGTATATGAAGCCATGAGTCATCTAGAACAACTGGGAGTATCTTCCACATCCATAGAGTTGGATGACATCAATATTGGATGACAAATTGGCTGTTTTCTTTCCTTTTCATTGGATATAGGTGTAGCTTGTAGACATCCTGAGTAGGTGCCAGGAATTAGAAATGACCTAGGTGACCACTCAAAAGCTATTGGAGGTTGTACTATTAAACATGGAACAGTACTAAATTGCTCTAAATGAAGTTGAACGTTCCCAACCTTTGTTAAGAAGCAGGATCATAGCTTTGGTATGTTACTAAATCTAGTGTTACAAACTGTACTAGGCATCCACAGGGTCCTCTATCAGCTTTGACTGGTTGTGCTTCTTGGGCAGAGAGATGACCAGTCCAGTTATCCATAGCCTATACTACTGTATTTTGATGTGTATAAAATGACACTTTTTCCTAAAACAATTAAAGGAAAAATTGAGAGTCGTTTTCTAAATGGAAGTAAGGAGAGATCAACGCGCTTTGATCCTTGCTTTTCCCCTCCACATTTTGCAAAGAAAATGAAGGGGGGAAAGCATCCTGCTTTCCCCCTACATTTTCGTTACAAAATGTTTGCAATGAAAATGTAGGAAGAAAGCAGGAATCACTTCCCCCCTCCATTTTCTTTGCAAAATGTGGAAGGGGAAAGCTGCTTTTTGCAACGAAAGTGTTGGGGGAAAGCAGGAATCATTTCCCCCCTTCACTTGCTTTGGAAAATGTGGAGGAGGAAAGCTGCTTTTTGCAATGAAAGTGTAGGGGAGAGCAGGAATCACTTTCCCCCTCCATTTTCTTTGCAAAATATGGAGGGGGAAAGCAGCTTTTTGCAAAGGAACTGTAGGGGGAAACCTCCACCTTCTTGCAAAGAAAGAAATTTTGGGTTAGAAAAATGTGGGGGGGTGTCTTATACAGGGTGGGGTGTCTTATACATGGAAAAATATAGTATTTGGGCTGCATTACAGCAACACATTGCATGGAGAAAGACATTTGAAAACAGCAAGTTGTTCAGAATACAGCAGACTATTAACTGCAAAACAGCTATGATGTGTGCATCATGCTGGTGTCAAAATATTTTCACTGGTTCCCAGTTTGTTTTGTAGGCAGAATTTTCCTGGCCTTTAAAGTATTAACTAGCTTAGTATCTTCATCATTCCCACCATTGTCACCAGGGCATTTGATAGGGAAACAGGAGAGGGCCTTCTTTGTTGAGGCCCCCAGACTTTGGAACTGCCTTTCACAAGAGGCCAGGATGGCCCATCTTTGCTATCCTTATGTAAGGAGGCAAAGATCTTTCTCTTCAAACAAGGTTCCCCTTAGTGACTGTCTGCTGAGCGGGGTTGTTAAATGGACTGTCGTGCTTTGAATGTGTTTTTGCTCTTGTTTTTGTTTACTGTGTTGTAGTGTGGTATTTGACCCTTTCTAGTATTTGTACACATACTGTTTTTAGCTTTAAATATTGTTTTTTTTATGACGTGAGATGTCTTGGGTCCTTTTAAAGGAGAAAGGCAGGAAATAAATAAA